AAAAAAAAAAAAAAAAAAAAAAAAAAAAAAAAAAAAAAAAAACTTTAAAAAAGATAAAAACGTTGTTACAAAAGTCCGAAAAAAACATACGTTATGAAAAAAAATAAGTTGAACAACACTTGCCAGAAAATAAACACTATGATAAAAATAAAAAGAGAATTAAAATGAGTGAGTGTGCCAGCACCTTTTCGACACCGCCATCTTTGCCGATATTTAATTATTTTTGGGCATTGACAAATGCCTTGAAAATTTACAGATACGTAGTTTATATAATCAATAACTCGTTAAAAATTGTTCAAAAAATAATAAAATGCTTTARGCCCCGAAATAAAGTGAAAACAAAAAGTGAAAAGTGAGAAAAACAAAATAGTGAGTGGGCACATTTTGACAACCCCATCTTTGACGACTTTTAATGTTTTTTTGGCTTAGCAGAATGGCTTCAAATTTTATAGGCGTGTAGGYTACATTGTAGAGAACTGACAAAAACAAATTCAGAAAACAAAACTTATATTTAGGCCACGAATTGTTTTTTGGCAGGGGCCGAACCTAGAGGTGTTCGGCCCYCGAACGGGACCCCAAACRCCCGAACGTTCGGGGGCCAGCCCGGGGGCCCCCGAACTTTCGGTCAGATAACCCTGTATATATATATATATTGTTTTGGTTTTTTATTTTTAACTCATGACAGGCTACGAATTTGAACATGACTCCAAGGCAAAAATTGCTTGTTTTATTATTTTACATAACATATAGTTTTTTCGGATTTTTTTGAGAATTATTTTTTATATATATATTTTTTATGTTCGCGTTCGGGCGAACATGTTCGCATTCGCCTCCGAATGCGAACACGGTGCTAAGTAGAGTTAGAAATCCCTCAAAAATAAGAAGGTCAATATAGACCATGTGAAAATATTTTTCTATTTATCAAGTTTTTCCTTCTTTTTAGTTGGTTTGTTTGTAGTTTAGTAGACCTCGATCCTACTATCTGTTTTGGAGATTCCGAATAATAATGGGGCGGTAATCGGATCGAACCAGTTAGCAGCTTAGGCCTTAGCCTGTGAGTCAAAATTTTCATAGAAGTTGTGGTCAAGGACTTAATCCGGTAACCATTTGAGTAGGAACTTTGCTACCGAGAACTAATCRGCGGTGCATTTGAGGGCCTTGACTACGGGGTACTCATAAGACTATAAGTACAGTCAGTGCAAGTAGTTAGACCTCTTACGTTGGTTCGCTGCCCACGACGCGCTAGTCTTAGGAGTGGCGTTAGCGGCTGCGGACGTGGTTTGTGGTTCGAACGGAGGATCTTGGGATTTGTGGCTCGTGTTTGAACGTAATTTTCTGACGATTTGTACTGTACTTCATGTGTGTCATTTCATTGCTTTGGCATGTTTGACGTGGGTTTTACTCACAACACTATCTACAGAATCTGTTTAATGCACGTGTGAACTATTCCGGAGTCAAATTACCGGAGTAAGTGAGCACGATTTCGGGTTATGCTATGTTGGTTGTTTTAAGTTTGTACATTGTTATCTGGCCAGTTGATTATGGGTGCTTCGGTGAGTACGCCTTCGATTCTTCTACTCAGGTCGCCTATGTGACGCAAAACCTTGTTTGCGGAGAAGATTCATTACAGTCCAGACGGAGTGTACAATCGATGGCGCGCTATGATGACCATCGTGATTATGGTCGGGATGAACAACGCAGTTATGGAGGTGACAGACGGGGTTACGATAGTGACCACCGAGATGAGCGGGAAAGTGGAGGTGATCGACATAATTTTGAGCGTGGAGCGAGACGCGGCCCGGTGACATGCTTCAATTGCGGAGAACCTATGTTCCCCCCTGGCCGCGGCCGAGTTCGTTCGTGGCCATGGCCGCTCCGGCCGAGAACTTTTGGGCGCGGCCGTGGCCGATCGGGGAGGGGGTTTTAGGAGCGGGGAGCGGGTTTCGAGTTGGGGGGGGTTCCCCTACCCCCTCGCAAAAAAAAAAC